AAAGTCAATAAATTTTGTACATTCTCCAATGCTGCAGTCATTGTGACATACCCAGAGATGAAATACGACATTTGCATGAGCTGACCACCTTAGATGGTTAAGCCATCCTTGCTCCATTGAAAACAAACATACCTTCCTTCACCATGTGGTCAAGCTACTACACTCAGATACATACACACATATATAGAAAGAGATGGAAAGTACTTAGGAAATAAAAGTGATTCTCACTGTTACAGTGCATTTCTTAACTTATTTAATTGTAAACATATCGAAAAATATTTGTGAATGTGAAAGGATCATGATAAAAATAAGCAGGCATGCTATTTGTAATTTATTCAATCGGACATATATATATATATATATTATAATAATAATAAGAGGTAGCTATTTGTATTCAATGAGGACACCTGTCTACTAGGGTGGCTAGCCAATCCCTATTGCAGACGCTTTGTGGTTTAAACTGTAACTATGATGAGCAGACCTTAGTCAGTTTCTGGGAATGAGCGAATTATGTAGCATGATCAACAAGGTGAACAAGGCCAGCTTACTCAAGCCCTCGGTCATGATGACTTGAGAATTTGTGCTAGCACAACTATTGACGGCTCCCAATTACCCAATTTCGCTTACAAGGCTTGGGTCAATGCGTGGTATGGTTTTCATGCACTTTCCAAAGGTGTCACACACTGGGATAAACCCCTCCAGTCAGATAACATCAGGAAGTCAACTTCCTGACAAATCAACCATAGTGAGATTTGAGACTGGGTCTCATGGTCAGAATCTGAAGGTTCTAACCACTCATATATATATATATATATATATATATATATATATATGATGGACTCTCCCGTCAGTTTTGACAACTTTGTTTATTTAACTTTTGTGTGTGAGTGCATGAAGTGACATTTCAGTCCCGCTAGTGATTTGCAAGCAGGACTGAAAGTTGTTGGAACCTCATACATCAAACTAACGGGAGAGTCCATCATTATTATATATATATATATATATATATATATATATATATATGCACGCTACCTCTTTGTCACGAAGGCGCATTGGAACAATTGATATGACGTTTCGAAACCCCACACAAAAACGCACAACATGCACACAGGTTGACCAAATACAGTGATCAAATCACTCACATACATGGACGACACTCATATCACCGGAGACACGAGGAGATATATATATATATATATATATATATATATATATATGTGTATGTATACATACATACATACATTTTTATGTATGTATATGCTGATGTTGACAACTTAAGAAGTACGTGTGTGCGTGTGTGTGTGTGTACTGGTTCCATGTAGCTTGGGAAATATGTGTGTATGTGTGTGTGTGTGTACTGATTACTTGTGGTGGGATAGTGTGTATGTGCGTATGTGTGTGTGTGCGTGTATAGGTACAAATAAGTTTATGAATTCCTCGTAGTAAGACAGTATATGTATGGAGGAAATATCATACACACATATATACACATATGCTGACAGAAACGCACCAAAATGGAAACAGATCCAAGAACACATAGGGTCAGTAAAACATTAAAGATAAAATGCCGATAAATAATTTATCATCTCGCTGGACCAACCTTAATTGTTTTATGACCCTTTATAGAACTCTTCATTGCCAATTCAAGAAGGAAATTCGGATTACCAACACACAAACAGAGAATGTCTCATATCGAAATATTTAACATTGAACATGAGGAAAAATTAATTATTTTAATAATATGTAGAAATCTCCACTTTTATCTGAAGACGGTCATGAGACCAGAAACACGTGTCGTAAAATTATGTAAAAACCAAAGCATAATATTTTTTCTAAATAAATCCACATTACAACCAAAAACGTTTATGCACACCTCTTTTCTCTTCTTTTAATATATATATATATATATATGTAAATATATATATATATATATATATATATATATATATATATATATATATATGTATATAATATATATATATATATATATATATATATATATATGTATATATATATATATATATATATATATGTAAATATATATATATATATATATATATATATATATATATATATATATATATATATATATATATATATATGTATATATATATATATATATATATATATATATATGTGTATATATGTATATATGTATATATATGTGTGTGTATATATATGTGTGTATATATATATGTATATATGTGTGTGTGTGTATATATGTGTATGTGTATATATGTGTGTATATGTGTGTGTGTATATATATATATATGTATATATGTGTGTATGTATATATATATATGTATATATATATATATATATATATATATATATATATATATGTATATATATATATATATATATATATATATATATATATATATATATATATATATATATATATATATATATATATGTGTATATAATGTATGTACATAAGAATACTTTTATTCTTCTTTGACAATTCGTCTAACCACTGTATGCATGCCACTTAACAGACAAGCAGCATTTAGCGGCAGAACATTCAGCAGGACCCTTTCAGTTGGAAGCATTTATTTAAAGCAATCTTTATTGATTTTGAAAACCTTGTCGGCATTCACTCTGACATCTTTTTTTTTTATCTGAACATTGCAGTAATAAAACATTTTTTGATTATATAATGAATCCAGTTCAGAATCATCTATCGTTTAGTTTTATTTTTATTTTCATAATCTAATCACATCATTTTTTTTTTTTTTTTTTTTACTGTTTTAGGTTTTTCTTTCTCTTCAGATATAAAGTTATTCTTTTGGCAAAAAGAAGAAAATAAATATTAAAATCCTTTGAACTTTTCCTTTTGTATTCGTTAGAATTCCTCAGTCAGTTCAATTTCAGTAGTGATCGTCAGACGTTAGGGCGAAATTCATAAAAATGCTTATTTGTTCAAGCAAAAAAAAGACCTCTTTATAATTTGGTTCTATCTTTCTCTCTCTTTAAAAAAAAAAAGACAGAGAATGCTTAACTAATTTTTGAATTCCAAAGAACACAATACAGAAAGCAGCTTTAGAAAAATTCTTTAAATTTGAAGGAAGCTTTCAAAATTAAGAATTAAACAAAGAATTTGAAGAATGCCAAGAAAACAGCTGAGAAAACATTTTTAAAAGAGTTTTTTTTTTTACTCTCTATTTATAATTTTAGTAAAACTACTAATAAAATAATAACAGCAAAGTCTATTAATTTAGCTTGTACTAATTTCTGCATACTAGCCAAATACCTAGTTCTACAAGCAGAGGAATGTTAAAAAACTTCACATAACTCTAAAATATCTGTATAAATGACATTTCCAGCAAGACATCTATTTTCCAATGTTCCTTTTGCTATTATGCTAAATCCACTTGAATTTCCTACTCAGGACATAGCTATCAGATTGTTGCAAAAGTTTATGCCTGAAAACTTGACACTAGTGTTTGTTTTGGTGCCAATTTCTGGTGTCTTTTAGATCGAAACCTTGCATCTTTCACTTGCAAGGCAGACTTTGTTGAATGTTGATATTTTGTTCACAAATGAATGCTGCAAAGATGGAGGAAGAAAAGTTACACTTTTGTCATATTATAATCTATGAATTTCAGAAAGGATTAATCATAGAAACTGCAATAAAAAAAACATTCAGTAGATTTTATTTGGACCACGCTCCAGCTCTTCAGATGCTCCAAAAATAGTTTGTCAGATTTCGTCAGGGTGATTTTAACCTAAACGATCAACCAGGCTCTGGGTGACTTTTCAATGTTGATGAAGACCTACTTGTTATGGAAAATAAACAGACAATTTTGATGGAAGAGATTGCTAAATATTTAAAAAATCAATATCTCAACCATCTTCACCATTTGAAGTGACTTAGATTCAAGAAAAATGGCCGATTTTGGCAAATTGAAAATGTCCCATTTTCCACCACAACAACACATGTTGCAAAACAGATCTTGCAGAAGTTTGAAAGAGTTGAAATGGGACCCCACCTTCCAACACTCACAGTATTCTTCTAACTTGACCCCTTTAAGTTTTCATTTGTTCCAGTCTCTACAGAACAATTTAAATGACAAAAAATTTGACTCTGTGCAGTCAGTTGAAAACTACCTCAGAAACTTCTTCCAACAAAAAACACAAAATTTCGACAAAAATGACATCAACAAACTTGTAGAACGATAGGAGACAGCTGTTAAAAACAATGGCGACTATGTGCTTTTTGTGAGTATGTACCAAACTTTAGTCATAAAGTAATACTAATAATGAAAAGTGTATTGACTGAGAGTATTGTGATAAGAAGCTACAATAACAAAATGGCCATCCTGGGTATGACGATAAACTACATCCGCGTCCTGGGTAAGATGATAAACTACATCCAACAGCAAGGCCTCTGATCAGGAGATTTTAAGGAGCATGGAAACACCTCTTAATTGCTGGTGTTCCCAGATCCACTCTGACCTGGGGTGGTAGCACCTGTTAGGGTCCCAGCTATATAGTTAACCTCCAAACTGGGGTCAAAAGACTATAAAAATGTAGAAATTATTACCATCAATATATTTTTGGAAAAAAACATTACTAACTATACATTTTTTGAAAAAAAATTACCATCATTGGAAAATTATTACCAGAAAAAGATTTTTGAAGGAAAATATATTACCAGAAATAGATTTTTGGAAAAAAAATATTACCACCAATGAAAATTTTGTCAGCATTACATAACCCATTGAGGTTGATATGCTGTAAAACAAACCAAACCAATAATAAAATGGAGTAAAACATAATGGGAATATGCCATTTTTACATTTAATAAAAGTTGGTGGTGCTTCTTTCTTGTTGTGGGGGTACTGATTCTTATCATTTTACTTTAGGTTTTCAAACAGATAAGAAAAAAATTAAAAACATCATTTCAAGGTTTTAAAGTCAGTTTATATTTTCTAGAATAAATAAGTTTACTGGCATAAAAAAAAAAAAATCAAGACAAAAATAATTTTATTTTGCAATTAGAAAAAATTCTTTATATAATTGGTGATCATTCGTACCCAGAGTGGCACAAATCTGTCTTTTCTCTTGAACGTGCACTCTGTGACTTTGTCAGAACTTTCAAAAAGATGCACGTGTTCCTGCAGAAAGAAAAAAAAGATAATTATTATTATTATTATTACTAATAATTATGAGTTTATAGGACAAAAATTGGTTTATATCAGTCAAAATATAGAAAATAACTTTAGAGTTAAATATATTTTGTGTTCCAAATTTTCCATAAACACTGGTTCCAATGTTATAGGAATGACTGCCAAGAACATCCCCTCCTCCCCCAAATAATAGACAAATCCTACAGATGCATGCTGGGATTTCTTAACTAATAAAAATGGACCAGTTCTCAGACTCATCCACTATATTTTTGTACTTCCTTGTCTTGAAGTCAGATTGCTATAACTGAGTGTATCCTTTTTGCATGGTGTCTTACTGTGCTTTGCTTTCAATATATATATATATATATATATATATATAAAAGTTCAACATATCTCAACATAGAGTGACAGTCTGTTTCATTAAGCATTTAGCATGAAACAGACTATTGCATCTGGCAGTGAAACGAACACTTTTATATTTACACATGTTCTATCTCTGATATTGAGCACTTTATCACATAAATATAGCACACTTAAGACTATATTTCTTAATATATATATATATATATATTTCTTAATATATATATATATATATATATATATATATATAAGAATGGATTTTTCATTTATTAATCAGATGTTTTTATTTTATTGCTTATATATATTGCTATATTTTTAACAGATACAAATATTTGAGTAGATGCTGTGTTTATTTATTAAACAGTATATTTTTTTATTTCCATCTCTTGGCCTGAATATTTGAGAAATCTTATTAGAAAAATATGTGTTCAGCAGGATTTGAACCTGCGTTTCCCTAGGGGAAACTTATTAGATCTGACATGCTTTAACCTCTTGTCTACAAAGAACCCCATGACCAAGCAAAATCTTCAATAATGATTTTGAACACAGACCTTTCCCGATTCTCAAAATATACATCTCTGCTCAGTTTCGAATCCTAATGTAAACAAAGACAATTTTTAGAATTTCAATGTCCTTATACATACATACATACATATATATATATATATATATATATATATATATATATATATATATATATATATATATATAAATAGCAATAATAATTGTAATTGTTGAAATAAAATTGTCCACTTAGGATGTTTAACTAATAATATAATATATAAAGCAACTGTATCAAATAATATTATCACAGAAGAAAAAATTTCCATAGAAGAAACTGAAACCACTTTTAAAGAAAGATTTAATAATCATGTCATTTAAAATAGATAAATAACAATAACATAATACAACAAATACAAAATAAAATATTATAATTTAATTTATAATATAACATAACAACGTGTTAAAGTTTCAAGTGTGCAATTGGAAAAATTGTTCATAAATTCAACCAAACTGGACAGATGTGAAAACACCATTGCATGCTCGTTTATGATGTTCAACTGAAAACATTGCTGCAGTGCACGAGAATGTGGCTGAAAATCCAGACCCTTCTATTCATTATCGCACACAGAATTGAATCTCTCCACAACAACATTACATCATTTCCAATTGCACTCTCAGTTGGTTGATTATGTTGACCAAAAAAATTGTGTTGTGTGCGAAATGCATTTCTGTTTGAACGGCCATTTTTGTAATAGGCTTCAATAACTTTAACACGTCGTTTGAATGTTAATCTTTCCAGGGTTGAAATTGCCAAAGACTTAAGTTGTTAAAGAGAAAAATCATTAGATGCTTAAACTTGATTCACATTTAAAATCAGTCCAAGTTATTTGGACACGCTTTATATATATATATATATATATATATATATATATTTGGTGTTATAAATTAATTGATTACAGTATTATGAGATTATATGTGTGTATATATATAGATATAGATAGAAATGTTATTAATGTTGGGTTCTAAGAATATTAATAGTATTTGCATATTATACTAATAATCATAAAATCTATTTTGTAATCTCCTTTGGTCTTATGGACCCATGTAGACATCAATTCTGTTCTCACGTTCAGCAAGTTAGGGTTATTTAAGTGTTTTAATATAAGCTTCTCCAACAAACACAAGTTACATCTGTCTCCCTTTCCATGGTTTGGCTTTCATGATTATCTTGGAGATAATAGTTGGATTTTTATGGTTGTTTTTTTTTTAATATATACTTATAGCTCTGTTATATAGCATTGAGTACTGTATTTATAACACCTGAGGAAGAATATATTTAAACGTACATGCAAGTATATGCGGTATATATGTATATTTATTTATCATATATATATATATATATATATATATATATATATGTATGTGTGTGTGTATCTCATGTAAATTTTTTTTGTCCTGTTCTGTTTCCCTACTCACTTGTTTGTTTAAAACTTTGTTAATTCTGCTTGTTGAGAATTATGTCTATTAGTCCATAGCCAATTATTCCACAAAATATGTTTTAGAATCAGCTAACCAAGCAGGATCAGGAATATGGTAAGTCCTCTAATATCAGAAGCACTTTTATTACTCTGCACTTTTGAACATGTACCAGCTAGCAATGCTGTTTGTAAGTAAAGGAGTTACTATATATTAAAATAAAAACATCTCAGGCTAAGTCATTCCCGCATCTGAGTGACTTCATATACACATGTCATTATTTGCACCTTTCTGACAGACATATTCTTCTGCCTTCTGCAGGTGTATTACATGGTGGAATTTGGACAATAATTTTGAACATTCTGTTCTCATGTTCATGGGATGGAAAGTGGGAATGATATTTTTTTTAATGAGAATAACAAATAGACAAGCAGACATGGCACCATAAAATAAAAACGCAATTTGCTGCACTTATTTTGATTAACCACATTACTTAGAATGGTTACTTTGCTACTTATTGTTATAGTGGAACACACCTATTCTATAGTTAATAGACTCTCCCACCTATAATAAGTAGGAGTAGTAGTAGTAGCAGTTTACAGTGAGTTGGTCAGTCAGTCGATGTTGATCACCGTTAGATGGATACTAAAAGTATCAGCTGAAACCACTAGATTTCTCTCGTCATTACCTATTATATCAAGTTCCCAACATTTTGTACATCGAACCTATTTTAGGACCGACTAAGTACAAATACAAGCCTCCACTGTGAAACTACAACACTTATATAAATATAAAGAAATCTTAGTTGGCAATAACAGAAGTGACTAAAAAATAATATAAGTGACTATATAAGTGACGATCTGTAGTGATAATAAAATAAATAAATAAAAATAAAAAAAAATAATAACAAAACCAAAATTTCAACACCTCTAAAAATAGATATATATTCAGAATCGCCAGGTCACAAAGCCATATTTCAACCAACCAATAAGAAAGTTTTCATAACCAACATAGAAAGCTGCAATCCAACCAGAAGCAAAGTGGAATTTTCCAAGTGGATCTTTGGATATGTATATAATGAGATTGAAAATTAACCTAAATCAGAATCAATTAATTAATTTTGTCCATACTCTGATGCTGCAATCATCTTAACCAGAACTGAAATGCAAAATTTGCACAACCAGCTGGCGACCTGAGATGTCTAGAGTCCTGCTACATTTAAATACATAGATCCTTTCTTTCACCACCTTTTAAGCAGCTGCATTGCTGAACAGACGTCTGCTATATTTGGATACATACATACATATATATATATTAATATATATTTGGGAAGGAACCTTTCTTTTAAATATCTTTTGTTAGATTTGACAGACAAGGAAAATTTAATTTTTTATTTAGTTTTTCCACTGGTCTTACATTTTCCCATTTGGTGGGAGCAAGTGAGTACAAAAATTGTCCATTGTCCCAAGTGCTTTCGACCACTTCTTTAGCCATTTTAAAGGGGGTTTGTTTGAAGTGGGGTTAATTTCTCTTCATGTTTTGAACTGTTTAAGATGCATTTTATTTTTGTATTGTTCTGAATATTGGTAGGAGTGTTTATTATTCCCATCCTAGAAAAACCAAATAAATTAAAGTTTTCCTTGTCTGTAATATATATATATATATATATATATATTTGAATAAAACAGACCACTTTAAGCTTCCATGTAATAATTATTTCCCACAGCCCTTTTAAAGGGAACTGATCATCAGACTTTACTTCCAAATGTTGAAATGAAAATGAAAAGAAATTTTACACATTTTTGACGGGTCGTATTATTCATTATGAAATTAATGAAGATGAGGATTTTATTTATGGATCAAGACATGAAATATTAGATGTACCATTTCAATTCTTTATCCTTAATTTAACTTGGTGTGGGCCAGACATCAACTTCCTTTAACGTATGTTATCTTTAGATATAGATGGGTAAGGGTGAAGAAACAAAAAATAACATAAAAGGAAAAAGATATAATAAAATAAATCATGAGAAGAGGTTTCACCCAATTTCTTAGACGCTGTTAATTCACATTACTTTAAAGGGTATATTTAACCTCACTAAAGTTTGATATAAATTCTAAATGTCTAAACAATCTACGAAGAATTTAATTTGATGTTTGTTGGAGTTTTGGGTATTTTCTATGAAATAGTCGATTGGAAAAAAATTCATAGAAAGTACATTGAAAGAATAAATTCAAACTCCATCTGGTAATCTTTTTTATTTTCTTAAACTTTTTTCTTGTTGATTATTAAGTTGACATCTATCCATTTGAGTTTTGTTCATAAATTAAACTCATGACTGTTTTTTGATACCTACATAATTATCAAAGATTATTCCAATTTAAATAATTTTATCATCAATAATGATTATTAAAGGGTGTTATGATGTTGATTTGGGGTTAGTAGAGACAAACGCCAAATAACACGTAACAATAAAAAGGGTTTTAATAGGTTGGTAAAAGGTACAGAAATCGCCTGAGTAGTAAATAACTAGCTCAGCTAAGAACTTCTGGTCTATCTGTTTTCATTCAACTGACATGCCACTATTTAAAGTCTTTGTTCACAGACGCAGACAAGTTCATCTTCCAGAGGGGTGGTAGGTTTCCGA